CAGATTGTAGGCCCACACCTACAATCCCAGAACCAGGGAGGCTGATGTGAGTTCAAGGTCAGCCTACAACTACGTAGGGTAAGACCTGTCTTAAAAAATAAAATGTAGACATCAGGAAAAGAAAAATTCACATAAATATTTTAACACTAAATTTATAGAGACATCATGAAATGAATACAAGTTACCTTTGGCTTCTACAATTACAACAGGGGCTCAGAGTGGCGGCCATTAGCTTCCAGACATGTATTAATACAGTGAACTGCTGAAAGGTATATACATTTTTTGACAGAACATAAACTGCAGTCTTAGAGCAGGTGTTTGGTGCTCAGTATTTGGTGTCGTGGACAAGTGAACACAGGGGCTACTTCACCTGCTTCCTTTATATGCTTGTAAACATCATCAGAGCCGGCAGAAGAGTACGGAATGTCATCATGAGCCACAAAGTCAATCTGTTGGAGAGAAGAGTGACGTCACTACGAGGATGGATATACCCTCATCTGCATATTTTGAGGGGACTCAGAAGCCCTCTCATGAGCCTCTCAAGTGCTTTTGTGAAATATGGCAGCCCTATGTTACATTTATAGTGTGGATCTGAATCTTTAACAGAAAGGTATTTCCAACTGTCTTTATTTCCATGAGATGACAGTGACTGAGAAAAGTAAATGTTTGGTTCCTTTCCTCTGTTGGTCTCTCTCTCTCTCTCCTACCTCCAACAGCAGGTTTTCCTGATCTTCTGTGCTTCTGCCTGTAAACTTTCTGCTTCAGAAATCCCATTCATTTCTCAGGATTTAATCACCCTTGCAATGGTGAAGAATCCAAATTTGCATTTCCTATCCCACTGATGGCAACAGGCCTTCACACTCTGTCATCTTTTATACTGAGAAAATGAATTTGTCTCTTTTCTTATTTGATCCTTATAACCTTGTGAGGTAGGTAGGGACATAGTGCCACTTCAATCAGGACATAAGGTAAGGGCACTAGAGAACTTGTTCAATTTGTCCAGTGTCACACAGCTTGTTAGTGGTTTGAAAAAGGGAGTGGGCAGGACTGACGCAGGCAAGGCTTTTATAACACCCACTATGACCCTCTTTAATACTTTTTGCTGTCACTTTAAAAATCAACTTGTCCTGAATTTAATTCATTTTCCTGAAAACTAGTGGTCCTTTCCAGTAGTGCCTCCATTTTCTCAGTTCCACTGGTGTGTGTGTGTGTGTGTGTGTACATGTTCCCCAACACACATGCATACACATGTGTATGGGCCCCGCACTTTCTCTTTATTGCTGCTATACTAAATTCAGGGAACTGTCATCTGGATTATTAACACCAACTTGTCCTCACCATAGGCTCTATTCTTTCCAAGTTGTCCTGCCGTCACACAGGTTGTCCTCCTTAAACAGTTTTCTTCTGGTGTTCCTCATGCCTGCTGACCTTCATCCCTACCTCCTATTACATCCAGTAATCCAGTAAACAGTCTTTGCACAACTTTTAAGCCTTTTTTTTAAAAAACCGGGATTGAACTCAGAACCTTGAACTTACCAGGCAGGTACTAATGCCGCTGAGCTATCTTCCCAACCCTAAAGTCTTTTATAATGCAACTTTACTTCACCTTGAGAGGTGGTGTAGAGTAGGAGTTTAATTTTCCAGGGTATGATTCATGCCCTACCACTTATTAGCTGTAACTCACAAGTTGGTGGGAAAGATTCAATCAAGATTTCTCTACTTCATTGCTAGTGACATTGGGGGCTGGATAATTTTTGGTTCTGTGGCTGTCCTTTGTATTCCAGGATGCTTAGCAGCATCCCATACCTTCATCCACTAGATGCCAGTAGCACCCTCTAGCTATGACAACCAAAAATGTCTCTAGACATCGTCAAATAGCCCTTTAAGGGGAAACTCATTGGAGAAGTACTGGATTAAATGATGTAATTATTTACCAGTACTTAAAAGTAGGTACTCAATAAATGCTCGTTATTGGTATTAATTCTGTGCTCTGTACTCAAACTTAGTTCCTCCTCTCCCTCTCCAACGTATAATAACAACAATGAAATCTCAATGTAGTCATGAGATTGAATTCAACTCATACTAATAGCAAAAGCCTTAACACGGCACTGGGCACCTGGTAAATAATAAATGGCAGCCATCACTATCATTGCTAGTATCCCCTCTAATGCTTTATCACATGTTGAATATAAAATAGATGCTTAGTAAAAATGTGTTAGTGATTACTGAAAGTAAATCATATTGTAGTTTTTCTCTTTTCTTTTTATTCTCACTAGGAAATTGTCTCCTCTGCTATTACCCATGCACATTTATCAGTGTTCTCTATTCTCTTCTGCAATGCGAATTTAAAAATAGAAAAGAAAATTCTTAGAACAGCTTAATCTTATTTTTTTGTACTGCTTATAAAAGAAAAGAATAGCTCCTAATGTGGGGCTGGCAGGAAGATACAAAGCACATAATTTGATGCAGATCAAAAGAGTTTCTTGTGTTTTCAACTAATAAAAACCTTATGTCAGTAGGAATCTCAGGGTCACAAAATCAGAGATATAAAGATTCTTCTTAAAGACTGGCCTTGACCTTCTGGGTAAGATGTGTACACATTTGTCCCATGCAAAAGGAGGCTCGTGAATCTGTAAGCACTGATAATGACGTGGTAATGACAGTGGTGGTGACATTCTTGGAGCTCTGGCTGTTTTCTTAGTGCGTTACTTAGATTCTCTCATAAAATCCTCAAAATGGCCCCAAGTGGAAGATAGCAGTATCATCCCATTTTACCCATGAGGTGATGTGAGTACTATATGGTTAAATATCTTGCTCCACATCCCAGTTAGAAGAAGAGAGAGACAGTCTTTGGATCTGGGTGGTCTAGCCCTAGTATATATGGTCAAGAACATGAGAAGATAGAGGTTCTCAGACTTGGCTGGAAGAGAGATGATACATCAGGTGACACTAAATGACAGTTCCTGAAATCTGCAGTTTCAGCTGCAAAACCAGATTCCTAATCCTGCTACTTAGAGAATACAGGATGACAAAAAGTACCTTGTGTTTTTCCAGAAACTCTGGGGTAAGAGTCCAAGGAGCATCTCTGATGACTTCATCCACATAGCGACAGTGTCGGAGAGCTTCGTACCTCTCTGCTTCGTTCATCACAGTGAAACCTTTGAATTTGTGTGTGAGATCATCGCTGCAAACTAAAATAGGTAAGACTATTAGACGCTGCTACTACCGGGCATCCTGGTGCCAACACGCCTCCTTCAGCAAGACAAAAGCAGCACAGCCCCTTTGAGTCCTTGGCATAATTCAACTCAGGTTTTTGAAGGAATGAAGGATTAGGAGAGCAAAGCAAACTTAAATGCACCAAGATTTCAGAATTTCATTTTAGTACTAATTATCACTGCATTCGCTACTGAGGCTTTTATTAAAATTATTTTCCACACTACCTAATCTGATCTTCCTATCTTTTATTATTTCCCTGCCCAATCCTTTAGTGAAATTTACTAGTCAAAAATAAAATGACCAGCCGGGGAGATAGCTCAGTGGCATAAGTGCCTGCCTGGCAAGTACAAGGTCCTGAGTTTGATCCCTGGTACCAAAAATAAATAAAATAAAATGACCAGATGGACAGGAAAAAGGAGAGAGAAGAGACCTTACAGAATGTTTGACCAACCAGTTCCAATTCTTTTGGTAGATGATTTATACTTAAAGTCTAGACACACACACACACACACACACACACACACACACACACACTTCTCTTCCCTGGACTGAGGTCTAATCATGAGTATATATAATTTTGTGTGCATGATAGTCATGTGTCAACTAAGAACAGGGACAATTTCTGAAAAATGTATCCTTAATTGAGTTCATCACCACATGAGCAACACACAGCACACATACACAAATCTAGTTAGTACGGGTCAGTCTCCTGAGGTGGCCTCCTGATTTAATCAAGAGATGTAGCAAACACAAGATGAATGAAGCCGCTGTTGGCATAATCCAGCATCCTAGTTACAGCAAATGTTTTTAAATAAGACTAGACTTTAAATTAACAACAAAATGTATAATCATAAATAACAAGCCAGTAACATAATTGTTTCATATCATTCTCCAGTATCATGAGCTTTACATATCTGTATGTGCCATACATTTGCACAAGTGCTAGCACAGCAAGTCTGTTCACACCAGCACAACACAACCATGGGAGTGATGTATTGTTTGATCATGTTATGCCATCTGGAGCATCAGCTCTACTATCATCTTGTGGGATTACCATCGTGCATCAGTGATGACTAAAACATCGCTATGTGGCACATGAGTATAAAAATAAATATATTTTAAAAATACAGTGCACCTGGGAGTTGCATTATTCTTACCATCTCCACTGTTCCCACTCCAATCTGCTCACCATCCCTCCTTCCGGTTCATTACTCTCCTGCTTCCAGACTTGCCCAACCCCAATAGCCTATTCTCTTTGGCCAGAATGAGCCTGTTAAAATGTGTCACATAGTATCCTTCCTTCTCCCTCAGAGGGAAAGCCAGTCTTCCCCTGGTCTAGGGCCCTACAAGCCCCACACCTCTGCCAACCACTCCTTGCCTCTCTGACCCATCTCCTATTGTTTCCCAACCCCCAAGCTCCTTGCTGTTTACTGAAACCACCAGAAGTCTCCTCAGGATAGGGCTTTGCACCTCCTGTTCCCCAAACTGGCAGTAGCTGTGCTCTGGGACTCCCTCCCATCCTCCCTCCACTCTTCCTCTGCCAGCATACTCTGAATTACAATCGAGCTGCTTCCTGCCATGCACCCACAGCCACCACTGCCTCCTTTAATTTTATTGTTGGCACTTCCCACTAGAACGTTTCTTCCCTCAGGGCAGGGACTCGTAGCTGTATCATTGTCTGATGAACAATATCTGGTTCTTAGTAGGCTCCTAACAAATGTTAAGTGAAATAAGAATGCCTGGTGTGTGTCAATGCTCAATAAGTGTTGGCTAATATTTTAAATAAAAATTATATTTATCTATAGGTATATTTTAATAATATATGGAAATAAGAAACTTATAAATTGATATAGACAGATAGATGTGCCTGCATATCTCTTATAAATGCTTGCTAAGACATTCCCTGTTATAGCAGTTTACATTATATATCTGTATATACAAAATAGGATAGATATACAGCTACTTACTCTTAATTCAATGAGAAGAAAGATTTGTACTAATAGTGTTTGTGGACAGGATAGCATGTTTGTACCTTGTACTATGAATATCTACTACAAAGACAACAATATGCAATGTATTAATTATTGAAACTGTCCTACTAATCGGTTTTGAAACTGTCTCATTGTTATTTGTTTCTTAATAAAATTGATAATAATAATAAAAAACAACATCAACCATGCAGCTGGCCCAAACACTTTCATGAGCTCGTGAATTATGAAGCAAACTGGGCTCTGCTCCTTGAGATTTTGATTTTGTAGCAGGGTCCAGGCACCATTGTATTCAACAGGCTTCAGGGATGCTTCTGATGGTTGTGACATTTGAAACCTTCAGATTACGAGCAACTTGAGCAAAGACACCTGGCTGTCTGACTCACCCATCATTCCCAGAAGTGGGGTTGGGGAGGGCAGGTGGTACAACTATAATGAGCATGTATTGATTCACGGTTTGTATCTGCTTTTCTTTTTAACTTTTTTTTTATTTTCATATGTATTTAGTACAGGGTCTTACTATACAGATCAGACTCGTAGTGATCCTTCTGTTTTCAACCTCCTAAGTGCTGGGATTACAGGCGCGCATCACCAGGCCCAGTCTTAATCGCCTTCTCAGTGCACCCCAGGGGTGCAGCTGGCACTACACACCAGGGATCAAACCTGGTCCCTGCTGTATCTGGTTTTAATTCTATAAATACGAGGTATTTATGGGCCATGCTATATAATTTTAAAACTGACCTAGGACTTTGTAGTCATTCTTTTGTGATTTTATTAAAATCCTAATAAAGTATCATATTGAACAGAAATGGATTTCAGATCCATCAATTTTCTATTTCAAACAGCACAAAACTAGGCCAGGCCTTATCATCTCCCAATTTGCTCTCACTTCTACATGACTCAGATGATGGTCTGTAGATAGACCACAAAGGAAACAAACACTCTGTTTATACCAATGAAGGGCTGTACTTTCATATCCCAGGAGTGACCACAAGAAGCAGCTGAACACGCTGACCAGTTATTGTCTAAACATTAATTACGCCCAAAGCAGCACTGTTGTTCTTGAGTCTTGGCAAATGTGTTCTGACAACCAGATGGAGAACTCAGAGCTATGGCATTCCAGTACCACAAAAAAAATTAAAAAACCCACAAAGAAACAGTTAAGCCATCCAAGCAGAGAGTAATGCTCAATAATCAATAGCATTAGTCATTTGTTAACAGTAGCAATAATATAGTCATTTATAGAAATATCCCTTTGGGTTTTGAGTTCTGTTTTTTCCTTGCCCCAACTCTAATCAGATGTTCAGAGCTCTTGGTACAAATTCCCTTGCAAAACTGTGAAGTTCAATTTGCTGGTCAACAACCTGCCTTCCTGGCCGCTGTCTTCCCAAAGCCAGAGCTTGGGTGGGTGGGAGGACTTCTAGAAGGAAGAAGATAATGAGAAAGAAGATTCCTCCAAATTGCAAGGAAAAGACCAAATGCCAGTGGATCTCACAAGCCACAGGGTTCAGGGAAGAGCCTCAGGAGAGACAAAGACATGATGCCCTAGGCTCTGGGGCTCCCACCTGAGGACACACTGCAAGAGCCTCACCTGAAACAGGTACAGAAAGTTGTGTTCTGCTAGTAAGTATATGACGGGGGCAATGCAAAAATGTCACTGGGACAGAGACACATTTCTGTCTCTTGTAGGCAGTTTGGATATTTGTTTGACTCTAGGGAGGTGCCCTATAAAGACTGAGATTATTTACCAATCAGCCTTGCAAAATAAAATCTTAAGAGGATTGTTTTACTGTTATTGTTTATTTGTGCTGTAAGGATGGAACCCAGGATGACTTACAGGCTAGGCAAGCACTCTACATCTTCAACCATAGATAGGTATTACATCTCAATGAAAACACAGTAAGTCATAAACCCGAGTTTGCAGAGAATGTTTATATCTACTATAGTAGAAGTAATAGCATATATATTGCTCTTATTTTATTCCCCTCCTATGAGGTAGAGGGTATTTTGTGACTCTTATCCTTTTAAAATACTTTTAGGGAAAAACACACGGCCATAAATTTTAATTTCTTAACTTTACTTAATCACTTATTTATTTGTGGTAGTGGGGACTAAAGCCAGGACTAAAGCACTGAGCCAACCCTTCATTCTATTTTTTATTTTGAATCAAGGTCCCATTAAGTTGCCCAAGATTAGCTAAAATTTTGATCTTCCTGTCTCAGTCTTTTAGAATGCTGGGATTTCTATGTGCCATCATGCCCAATTTCCTGTCTTCTTTTTAAATGACATAAACTTTTAAATAGAAATGAAAGAAAAAGTACTTTACAAGGAGTCTCAGTTCATTAAAATAATAGCAACAAAGTAATGTTCCTTAAAAGAAAACATTCAAATCATTACTGACTACATGCTCAAGGCATTATAAATACAGGTATTATAATCAGAATACAGTCTGTTACTGCCTAAAAAGTAGACAATATAGCATCTCCAGAGTACCTCCAGTAATCCAACTTTCTGGTTGGGGTGTGTGTGTGTGTGTGTGTGTGTGTGTGTGTGTGTGTATGTGTGTGAGTGTTTCTGAGAATGGAACCCAGGGTTTCCTACACATTGGCACAACTGCTCTACCACTGAATTACACCTCCAGCCTTTTTATTTTGTAGTTTGAGACAGCATCTTGTTAAATTGTCCAGGCTGGCCTTCAACTTGGAATCTTCCTGCCTCCACCTCCACCATAGCTGGAATTACAGGTGTGTACCACAGCACCCAACAATTGATGGCATTTTGATAAATTATTTCTGGTAATTACCAAGTATTTCCACCAAATACCTGCCCATGTACTTGTATCATGAGTGCAGTATGTGTTCCTCATGGAGGAATTCCTATACCAAACCTACCTGTAGATGGAGACTACAAATAATAGGGCCTTACTTACCATAAGCATTCTTATTTGTTATCTTCACACATAATGTCAAGACCCAGTTTTTAAACCA